TTCATAAATATTTGCTTTTTTAAAAAAAATTCGACCTTAGTAAGCAAAAGATGCAAATTAAAACAAGTGATCATGTCTAACTTACCAAATTCATAAAGAAAAGAAGAGCATAATGAGATAAAATCTTTCATATGTTGGAAATAAAATTCATAGAAAGTTAATGTGGTTCTATGTGAAAAAGATTTTTTTTTAAACTTTATACTCTGACAACTTCATTCTCCTCCAAAGAATCTATCCTAAATGAGTCATCAGAAATGTGGAGGAGAGTTCTGTGCAAAGTGTCCATTGTAGCATTTCCTTTCACACACACAGATAAGTAAGTGATACATCTCACTATATCAATTGGCACTGGGTGAATAATAGCGCTTCCATATCATAGAGTATTAATATGCTTATACTAAACAAAGTTCACAAGAGCCTTGTTGAGATGAATACGCTTAAGTGAAAAGAACAAAACATCAAACTTGTGGGACCAGCAGTTGGCGTAATGGCTATGTCGCTGGACTCCCATGTAGTCGATCGCGGTTTGAATCCCGGATCCGGTGGCTTAAACTCATGCTGGGAGCATGTGCTTGAGTGACCAAGATACCGAGAGGGGAATGGAGGAGAAGGGATTGCGGTGTAGCCATCCCCCCTGGGGGTGATTTATCACTTTCTGTCTCTCTGTCTCTCTCTGTCTTTCTGGTTAAGTGCATGCATCCCATAGCAAAAAAACCTCTCCCAAAAAAAATCAAACTGGAATCACTTAATCATGTAAAAAATATACACTGAGAATTGATAAGAAGAATGTGTGACAAATACTTTGTCTCGGGTTTAAAATTATGAGCGAGGCCAGCCTTATAGCTACGTGGTCAACCCCAGTGGTTTGAAAGAACACCCCAGGCCCGTGTACATGTGTGTCCTAGACCCCAACAGAACAGAAAAATGAAGAAGGGATCGAGGCATGAGGATGCTCCAGTAAGGAGTGTTTCTCCCTCTCACTCTGTTTCTTTCTGACAAGCACACGAGCCCTTTGGTAATTAAAATAAAACAAAATTAAAAAACAAGTGATTGGTTAAAATTTTCTCCACTTTTTCTATCATGAACACCAAACAGTGGAATCAGACGTTAGGAATATATGAAGTGGTCATTTTTTTTTAATTAATAGATGTGTTGGATCAGTCGGTGGCGTGGTGGTTAAGGTGACTGGATCACACATGGTTGACTGCATGGTTCGGGTCCCAGACTCAGCAGCTTGAAAAATACTCTGAGCATGTGGTGTATACGCTCAAAATCCCAAAAGGAGAAATAGAGAAGGCAGGATTGTGGTGTGTGGTGTGACCATCTCCCATGAGCAGTGCACGCTCTCTCTCTCTCTCTCTCTCTCTCTTTTTTGCTCCCTCTTTACAGTGAATGCACATACCCTCTAGCAAGTTGGGGTTTTTTTTGGAGAGGTTTTCTCTATAGGGCGCGTGTGCTCACCAGACAGACAGAGAGAGACAGAGAGGGAGAAGGCGGGATGGCCACGCCGCAATCCCTTCCCCTCCATTCTCCTCTCGGGATCTTGGGCACGCACACACATGCGCCCGGCGTGAGTCTTAAGCCACCGGGTCCGGGACGCGAACCGCGGCCAACTACATGGGAGTCCAGCGACACAGCCGTTACACTAACTGCTGGTTCCCTCACCCTCTAGCAAGTTTAAAAAAAAAAAAAGTGTCCATTTTTTTCTTACTAGCATACTAATTTTACTACTCCTTGATTCCTAATGATAATATTTTATATTGCTATATGTGACCCTATTTTTGCCTCATTGCCATAATGGTAGTATATTAATATTCATAAAACAGTCATCTTAAAAGGTATTGGAAATATCCTCAACGTCAGTAAAATAATATAAGCTCCTGGAAACTTACAATGACACAGTCAGAGCTGTATTTAAACCTGAAAGCAGGGATGATTTAAAAGGTAATTAAACAGAGTCGTGCCAACTGCATTATCGCTAGACAGAATCAGACCAGGATTTATCTCGCACATCTGGTACGTTTCAACACGGCCTGTTGTCCTGAGCGAGGAAGTCGGGTTTCCCTCTGTGGCTCCCGTTTATTCTTGGTCACGGACAGCTCGAATGGTGGCCCACTTACTGCGGTGCACAGAAAACTCCCCTGGGAGGGAAAAATATCATCTTTCAGGTGTTTGCAAACACATCAATTTTTGTTTCACAGAGAAACATGTGGACTTACACTCTCTCTCTTCCTGTTCATTATTCTACCTAAAGTAGATAGCTGTAGCGATCTTTTAAAATTCATTTTTCTTCCGCCGAAAAATAAAGTTATTGCCACTTTCCTTTCTTTCAACCAGGAAATAAAGCATAACATTACTATCTGAAGAAAAAAATTTCCCCCATTTTGAAATTTTGCATGAAAATATTTGCATAAGGAAGTCGGGGGAGAAACTGCCATGAGTGAGAATAGATCTTAGATAAAAACATTGCTTTTCGTTTTCCATTTTCAATCTGTTATCTTGGTGGCATGACAACCAATGCATAAGAGCCAGCAGGTAGAAAAAAAATCTCATATACTGAACTAGAAACCAAACTGAACTTTTAGAATAAAAAAGGCTACCTCTCGGGACCAGTCCTGGTGGTGCGCATGGCTTAGAAGTTGAGTTCCACCAGCTGGGACCACATGACAGTCCTGGCTTCAACTCCTGGTTCTATCTAAAGGCTGGACATGGTGGTATGGACGTGTCATCCCAGGGACATGGTAGGCTGAGCAGGAGGCCCCAAGCTCAAGTCAGGCCTGGGCAACAGAGCAAGCTCCTGTCTGAAAGGACATTGTCAGCACAGGCACCTGCAGTTCCCACTATCCCGCTAGGAGACTGAGCCAGGAGCAGGAGGAGGACTGCAACAGAGAGAGATCTGTCTTTGTTTTTTTTTCTTTTTGGAGAGGTTTTTGCTATAGGGTACATGTGCTCACCAAAAAGACAGAGAGACAGAAAGTGAGAAATCACCTACCGGGGGCATGGCCACACTGTAATCCTTTTTCCTCCATTCTCCTCTCGGGATCTCGGGCACGCACGCACATGTGCCCAAGAGAGCCCCCATCTTACAAAAAAAAAAGAAAAAAAAGCCTGCATCTTGACTGAACTAAGAATAAGATGGTCTGCGTTTACAGAAACAGTGGCAGAATCAATCCTGAATTATTCCAATTTTCCAATCAAATCTGTCAAAGCCTCTCCACCGGCAAAGAGCAGGGTCACTTCCTCCAGTGCACACTCCTGTTTCAGCCTGGGCTTCCTAGTCCAACTCGGGGCACGCGGCCACCGATACCGTCTCACTGTCAGTCAGGTCACAGCTGCTCACGCTCTGATTCGGGGTTTTCTGGCCCGTCCTCTACTCTCCAAACCCTGGTCACAGCACCTCACGTCAAGTGTGCCGTCGAGGGGAGTGTCGCCTTCCCTCAGGAGACCCTCCATATTTGTTTCCTGTGTTTGTTGGGGACAGTGTCTGGGTGTGTCCAAGAGAGGAGTAAGATGCCCAGACACTCGGGCTGGTTTCCTGAGAACTCATAAAGGTTAGAGATTGGAGAGTGTGTGAGAGTGTGTGTTTCAGGGCCTTGAAATCCAGATTTGGGAAAGGTCTAAGTAAAACATCTCTAAATTCAGAGGCCAGATATAGATGAGCCTCAGGAAAATATCAGGTCAATAATCAATTCTTTATCAACATTGTGTTTTTGTATAAACAAAACATAACACCTAATCATTTCACCCAAACCTTCTACTTGGCTGAAAATTACTGTCATTTAGGATTGTGAAATTGTCATTTTACCATTCCTGACATATTGAGCACTTGTAGTGAAGACGTTTTTGCCCAATGAAGAAGACAGAACGTGAGATCTGAAAGGGCCCTGAACTGTCGCCCTTTAGTCCCGGCATTGTTAAAGGTGAAGACTGCGACCGGGTGGACAAGGAGTTTGCTCCCAAGTCCCCCAACACAGTGCGTGTTGGTGACTGTGTCCTAGCTGGTCATGAGTCACCCGTCAGGGTCTTTAGCCCAGCCAGCCCTGGTCCCTCCTCTGGTCTTTGTGGAACCTTCCAGATCTGCCCCAGGGTCCTCATCTGGTTCTTGAGATGTGAGTGAAAGCATGAGACAGGGGGGGCCCCAGGGCCCCAGGCTTCCTTCTCATCCCAGTCCCAATACTCATGAACCAAGGCCTTGCTTTCTGTTGTCAAAAGTGGGAACAACTCCGCCGGCTTCTGCCACCCCATTTGGAAACACAGAAAAGGCCCCACCCTGGAAGTTGGGTTGGGAGCCCTACCTTTGCCATTGTTAGCACGATTGTGGTTCAAGGTACTTGGAGACAAATTTCTTGACATTTCTTGGCCCTCCCCCCCTGACTCACTTATTGGGGGGGGGGGCAATCATACCAGCCCTGTTCATTTCTGTAAGATGGAAATGGAAGATGGACGAGAAAAGCAGCTGATGAGTTGTGAGGTTCGTTAGAGACGGAGCGTGGAGTGTGGTGGGTGCTCCCTTCGCAGTTTCTTCTTGGGCGACGTCGGCCCAAGTGGTGTCTGGTGCTGTCCCCCAGCAAGGCATGCAGGTGCCGTGTGTCCCGGAGGAGCCCAGCTGGGGCGGGGGCTGGCGGGCCTGCAGGAGGACGTCCTTGCGAGCACTCGGGCCACTTGCCTCCAGCCAGCCGGGCCTGCGTAGCTTGGCAGGACAAGTGCCTCTTGGGGCCCCCTCCTAGCGAATGAGAAGTAACGCCCTTGCAGCGGCAGCGAAACCCAGCTATCTAGGGAAAACACAGTGAGCAAACACCGAGCGAGGGCCGCAGGGCCGGGCGGTGCACGCTTGCCCAGCAGCACGGTGGCTTCTCTCCCGCGGCCGCCCCGGGGCCAGCGGGCTGCAGCCATGTCCACCACCACGTGCCAGGTGGTGGGTTTCCTCCTGTCCCTGCTGGGCATGGGGGGGCGGCATC